AACTGATCTTAAATAATTTCATCAGTAGTTCAATAACCCAGGAAAGAAGGCGAGGCCCTTGCTGGTTTACCAGATTCCAAACATTTTTCTTTGTTCCAAATAGTTCATAACATGTTTTCACAGATTGGTTCCTTTGTTAGTTTTCCAACTTTTCCTTTGGAAAACACACACACAAACACACACTCACCACATTTTTGTTATATATTCTCACCAACCATGTGGAGAGAGACCCATAGATGAAAACCTTACTGTACACAGCTTTTAATTATATTGATACATTCCCAAGTTCATTTAATTCAGATGAACAAGTATCTTCTTCAGTACCAATCCATGGCCCATAGACTGTGCTGGGGGTAATGGTGTCATAGTGAGAGAGACTTGTTTCTGATTTACTCTCAAAGAAGGCAACTTATTCTGCATATAAATAATCTCATACATGCAAGACACCCACCCCCAAACCCCCACCCCACCCCTGCACCAAATCCAACCAAACAAAAAGAGCCTCATATATGGGTGTGGCTCTCTCCAATTGTTGTTTTTCCTTTACCACTGTTTTTGTTTTCCTTCACAATTCAGCAGGCCTGATAAAAGTTTAAAAATAAGAACTATGGAACTGGTTCAGCCATTAAGAGCACTTGCTGCCCTTACAGAAAACCCTGGTTCAGTTCCCAGTACCCAAACTGGGTGTTTCTCAGTGGCCAGTACCAGTGGATTCAATGCCCACTTCTGGCCCCTGCACACACAGGCACATACACACATACGCAAATTTTTAAGAATTTAAAAATAAGATCTATGCCCAGGGTAAGTTCAAAACCTCTAACTTCTCTTAGGCACCACAGAAGCTAAAGTTGTAGCACTATTTGATGACTCATAGAGGCCAGGCATTGAGAGGCAAAGCTTTGACTACATTTCTTGATCCACCAAGGTGGAACTGATGGTGCTGATGTTTAAATTCAGGCTGGTGCTATGAACTCCACTGCTTTGGTGTTGGAAGATGCAACCCAAGAGCAGAGCCCGGGGTTGTCATACTTCACCACTCATGTGACTGCTGCCAAGACACTTTTTACACCTGAACTAAGACGTGCGACATCTCATTTCAATCATCTATATCACCTGAGTTTTCTGTTCAAAAAAACACCCTCCTGTCCCAGTTACACTCTAGCAGTGAAAAGAAGAAACTAGTCTCTGTGGCCAGAGGGATCCCCAAATAGAAGCAGCAGCAGCGGCATCCAGGAGCTTGTATAAATGCCAATTCTAGAACATTCTAAACCTGCAAAATTAGAAGTTGTAATTGGAAACCAGAAATCTGTGTTTTGCTTTCATGAGAAGTATCTCATTATATAGCCCATACTAACCCCCAAATCACCCCAATTTTTCTGCTTCAGCCACCTGGAATTATGTTTCGAAAGCTTTCCTCGTGCTCTGGTGCACTCTACTCACTAGGCAAACACCCAAGAAACTGGCCACATCCTCTTACCTTTGCCTCTTTTAAAAACTCACAGGTGACGTTCAGGGTAATCTCTTTTACTACCAGACTGGTGCTGAAGTCAAATGGCTGCCCTCATTTGCCCATAGGCCTCTTTGGACTTCTGTCTTCTTATCAGTATTTAGCTTCTGGGGAAAGACAGGTAATACTGAACCCCTTAATTCCCAACAAAGCCATATCAACAGTTATTCAACCACACTTCTAAGAGTGACCATTAAAACACAGCCCGTGCATATTACTTCCCAGGTGTTTATGAGTAAATTATAGAGTTAAATTTCAACTTCCTATGTGGCTGGAGAAATGGCTCAGTGCTTAAGAATGCTGGCTTCTGTGCAGAAGACCCCAGTACAGTTCCAAATACCCAGGTCGGGCAACTCACTCCAGCTCAGAGGGATCCAACTGGTCTCCAAGGTCACCCACACATAGGTGGCATTCACTAGCACAGGCACAGCCACATAAATAAAAATAAATCTTTAAACATTTTTAACTTGATTAACAAAATGTTTGCTTTTAATTTGGTGCTTCAACTTTGGAATTTCACAGTGTGCTAAAACAACCAACTTGTCAATTGTTTGTTTTTGCAAGAAAAACATTATTAATTTATTTATAAAAGTATTAAAAATGTTTAAATTTGAATTTTATTGCTAATTTTACAAAGGTTTTCTATATTTCAAATGTAACTTACTACCACTCAACTTAATTTAATATTTTTCTCTATAACCAAGTGAAATTTATTTAAAAGATATTGAATATTTTATATTGTTATATGCTGACAAAATTATGATATATTACAATGTACTAATATTTCTGTAAATATAACCAAAGTTCTATTGTTTTGTCAAAATAAAATTGAAAGAACAACTTATCAGGTCTTTGGTTTTTTTTTAATGGAAATAAGTTTATTTTGGATTATAAAAATTAAAGTCACTCTAAAAATAATAGGCAACTTTGAAGTTAAGAATATCAAACCTCCTACTATTTAATATTCATTCTTACCCAAAATAACCATCAAATTATGATAGTAAAAAAAAACTATAATGTTCTGAATCTTGATGCCAAAACTGAAAAACAGTAACTGAAGAATGTCTGAACTTTAAAAAGGAAATGTTTTGTTGTTGTTGTTGTTGTTGTTTTTTGTTTTTTATGTAAAACCTTATTAGGATTTAAGTCCTAATGGAGAACCTAATCAGAAATGGCTAGAAGTCATGCATCCAAATGAAACTAAACTAAATGTAGGAGATTGTTTGGATTTACATACTATGAGGATGTAGAAAGAGCCAATGACAGATTAAGTCATCAACAGAAATGTTTGGGTCAACAAGAAAAGAAAAGAAAGACCCAGCATGAAGGAAGGAACCCAACAGGAAGGAACAGACTTTCCACATGAGTGGGGAAACACTCTTCATACCACATACGTTTTTCTTTTAAAGACTGTACCATACTATCAGGTGCTCTGACCTGCTGGGAAAACACTTGAGTCTTGTTTAATAGACTTACATGATGCCAGAAGATAAATGATAAATCAGAGTTCCAGGAAAAGACTAGGGTATCATAACTGAATTATGGATCTTTATTTAAAAATTATTTTAAAAGAATGTGAAGAGAAGGGACAAAAGAAAAACCAATTTGCCACATTTCAGAAGTATGAGAGCTAATGGAAGCAGTAGGAAACTCACTTTTAAAGGTCTTGATCACAGATGGTCTACCCAGCATAATCCCTACTGATTGGAATGACAGAATAATATTATTTAATCCACCCAAAAAGAAGGATATTTGTCACTGTAATGTAGCAGGACACACCACTCAAAGTAGGCCACTTTGAAATAAAGATTATTGTGAGACAAAGGCACTTAAAAGTGTCTTTTCACATTTACAGAGGCCAGTGTCTAATAGATTTTAGACCCCGAGAGATTCTTTGAGTCTCCCATTTTTCTACTCCAACATACAAGCAAAAATTACTAAATAAAAGTTGTATGCTTCCCTCCTGTCCACCCACTGTTTTATGTCAATTTAATTAGGGGCACATTGAGACCTTAAGAGGATAAAGGGAAATTTTACTTATCCTTATTAGAAAGAACGTGCAAAAATGCAATTCAGAAAGCTTGCCAAATTATTTTGAAGGACAACGTTGCTGGGCTATCATGTGAGGTTTTGCTGTTGTTTTGAGACAGGATCCAATGTGTAGCACTGGCAAGCCTGAAACAACCTCCCCGACCCCCGACCACACACACACTCCATCCTCCTACCTCTGACTCCTAAGTATTGTGATAATAGGAGTGATTATATTGTGATTATAGTGTAATTATAAGACTGGCTTTGGAATATTTTTTTTAGATACAAGACCACCTCACTTGAGTAAATACTCTTCCTTTGCACAAGGGACTGAGAGATGTATTCCAGAACCACAGCTCATATCCAAATCTACATGTCTGTCTCTTATAGAAAATGGCTTAATGCTTGAAAGTAACCTATGCACATCCCCACAAACACTTGAAGTTGTCTTTAGATTACACATATTTAATCCAATATAGATATGTTGTACTCTATTAGTAGGGAATAACCAAAATGAAGAATGTGTATGTTTGAAACAGATGGTAGCCAGGCCTCCCACTCACTGCATAGCTGAGGCTGGTCTGGAACTTCTGATCCTCTAGGTTCTACCTCCCAAGTCCCCAGTACTGGGATTTCTAGAGTGTATCACCAGGCTTAACTATATGAATGGACTGAAAGAGAAAAACTTCTTCAACCCTGGTTGGTTGACTCCAAGGATGGGAAACTGTTGCTAGGCTGTTTACGAAAATCGAGACGCACACCCTTATTTCCTGATTTGGCTTCTGGTCTATCCTTTTATGAGCGTGCCTGGTCCTTGTTTTCCAGCCTGGTTCTTCCTGAGGGGAGCCACAAGGTGGGTGATTAGACTTGAACGAGATTTCTGACAGCTACTATCTTCCAACCCCTTCGGATTCCCCTTTCTCCGATTCTTAATTTGTAAGTTTTGGGAAAGTCAAAATTAGAGTGCTGAAGAATTACTCCCAATATTTGGTTACAAATGCAGATTCTCGGGCCACATCAGAATATTTATTCAGGCGGTGCTTTCAAACAGGTTGCTGGTTTACCTTGTTAACCGGAGGTTCTTTACGCGAGGTCCGGAAAGCCCTCAAGAGGAATCACCTGAGGAGCACTTTGCCCACAACAAAAATGGCTTCTTATGGCCGTCCCAAGAGCCTGAATGCAACATCCGCCCTTCTCGAATCACATGGCCAGGAACCTACTTCCGCTACGGCTCCTGGACGGGGCCAGTCCGGGCCGTTCTCGCGTCTGCCCCGGCCCGCCGCGGCCGCTCCGCCGCTCCTTTGCCCGGGCGCCTCCGTGCGCTCGGCCAACGGCCTGTGCGAGCGCTCGCCCGAGTGCCCCGGAGCCGGCGGGCGGCGGCCCTCTCCCCGGGGACTCTCCAGCGAGCCTGGGGTGAGTGCTGTCGTCTCCCCTAGCAGGACTGCGGGCCTAGCGCCGGGGCAGGGACACTCGCCTCCAGGGCCGGGCGGAGTAGGGCCTGCCCTGCAGATCCCTGGGGCTCGCCTCTTCACCCTTTCCGAGCTCGGCATTCTGTTCTGTGGAACAGAAAACCGAACTTTACTGACAAAACCAAAGACACCTATTAGTTCGCGGTTAGGAGACGGAAGGAAGCCTGTGTGTGAGCTTGGATGTGGGCTTTTTTCGGGCATCTTTTCCACGGGCCCACGCACTTCACGGTATGACCTTGAGCTCGTCCCGTTTAGAAGTAAATAAACTGTTTTGTGTAAAATCCGTGTACTTAGAGAAAGGCCTTTGAGAGGCCCCCGGGCTGGCCAAAGCGTCCTTGCTCACTGGTGGCTATGCAGGTTAGTTCTTTGCCGCCCCAACCCCGGCCCGCGGAGCTAGGTTCTGATTCTCCAAAGCCCCCGACCTCCGTTTGCAAAAAACTGGTAATTGCAAAACCAAAAACTGAACCAGCATCCCAGTCCAACTAGCTTAGGAGCAGGGCACGTTCTCTGGGAAGAGCAGCGCTTCCTAATTGCAGAAGAATAAAGCTTGTGCCCAGTAGTGCTATGCCTGCCTCCCTCAGGGAGACAGTGAATGAGAATGCCTTTTTTCCCTGGTGAGAAACACTCCTTTCTCCCTCAGTCCCGTTGGCTACTAATGAGATTCCCCAAAGAAAAACCTTTAGGGAAAGTAGGACGACTTAGCCCTATTTAGTATTCTGAACATGCAATTAGAATGGTTTTTTTTTGGGGGGGGGGGTATCTTTTGGTTTGGAGGACTTGTGAATGAAAACAACTCTTCAGTGGTGTTTCTGTATACGCTTTTTACTGAACTGCTACTGTCCACCGAGAGGAACTCAGCGTTGGCTCCCTTCCTGCCTGATAAGGCTGCCTCATTTTAGGTTTACAGGGTTTTCTTTTCTGTCACTCTCCTTACTGTTGTGAATTTTTTGTTGTTAATAAATATGGGATTATTATTTTTGGTTCTTTATAAGTTCTAGATGTGAATCCCCTGTCAAATGTCTACCCAACAAAGATTCTGTAGACCCTCTCCACTCTTATTTTCTTCAGAAACGTCTTATTTAATACAGTGCCGTTTACCAGTTCTTGCTGTCATTTCCTGAGCCCTTGGAGTCCTTTGCTGAAAGTCCTTGCCTATGGCTCTTGTACTCTCAGGGTTTTGCCTGTTTTCCTGTAGCAGATACAGACTTTCATCAGTTCTTATGCTAAGGCCTTTGATCCCCTTTGACTAAATTTTTGAAATAGTTTTTTGTTGTTGTTGTTGTTTTTCATACAAAACTGCATACAGCAGTTTTCTGGTTCTAAGGAAATGATTAAATATTTTCTTAAAAATAGATTTGTTTTTAAAACGTAAAGCCAAGGGATTGGGGATTTAGCTCAGTGGCAGAGGGCTTGTGCAAGGCCCTGGGTTCAGTCCTCAGCTCTAGGGGAAAAAAAAGTAAAGCCAAGTTAAAGAAGAAATTAAGTGTAATGTGTGGGCCCCCATGAAGTTTGAAAACGTTCATGTTGTTTGGGAATGGCCTAAAAAGTGGGCCTGTGTGTTAGACAGGTGTCCAGTGCAGTGACAAAACCTGTGGGATTAAAACCTTACCCCCAAATTACGTTTATTTGTTACCAAAGAATATTACGCCAAATACTGTAGTTTAATGTGGAAGAGAAATAATGAGGTCCTCATCTGTTTTATTGAAACATAAAATCTAAAAACTGCTTTGGTAGTATTAAGTCTTAATATAGTTATTCCTCCTGTTGTTGTAATCCCAATCACAAAATTATTTTTGTTGCTAGTTCATAACTGTAATTTTGCTACTGTTATAAATCGTAATGTAAATATCTGCATGCAGCCCCTGTGAAAGAGGGGAAACCAGTGCTTTAATGGTCACTAGTCACAGAGCCCTGTCAGTGACACTGAAACTTGTGATAAGGTTGAAGTTCTTTGTTTATTCTTTTGTTTCTTTGTGTAAAGTTGTATATCTTTATGGCTTTTATTTGAAGAGTTTCCAGCCAGGTCTCTTAATAATCACATTATCTAGTTTCTCAGTCGCTGTTCTTCTCCCTCAGGGACAAAAGTGGCTCTCAATCTAGCACATGCGCATCAGAGCAATTTAAGGATTTAATATGAAGCCCAGAAGCAGATAGTGCCAGATAGCAAGCCTGTTGTTTCGCATTTGTAAGTAAAATTTTCTCTTTGGCTCTGTTTTCTTAGTCTTTAAGCCATCTGTATGTCATTTCCTTAAAATGCAGACATATAGGGAGGGGAGAAGCTAGTTGGCAGTCATAATCCCACGTGGCTTAGTATATTGGAGAATCTCCAAGGACTTTACTCTAAGGCCTGGGGTATGTAAGACGATGAAAATGTATTACCTTAACCCTAGCTTACAAAATGACCTCTGTGATGAAAACATTTATATTGCCTGTAGTGTTGTATTGCTCTCAACTTATACTTTGCTGGAAATTTAGTGTAATTTGCCTTCCTTTTCAGGGAACTATCACTTATACACCAAATTTTTAGGTAACCTTAAATGCATTTACTTTTACCCTTCTATTTTCTTCATTATTTTTTAGATCCTATTGGAGTATGGTTAGAGGAGTTTTCTGGTAGCCATCCTTCTCCTAGTCTAGACTTCACATTTGTTTATGTAATGACAGAACTTTCATTTACCGTAATTGCAAAGTCATGAAATAGGGACTATGCTTAAAACCATCTTCTGACTTGTAGTGACTGTAGAGTGACAGTAGGAACGTTTGAAATGTGGTCTCTCAAATCAAGCCATTTTAAGTAAATAATTACTTTTATTCATAGTTCTCTTATAAAGTGAATTGTTGAAATCCTGATTTTTATTCTTTCTTTTTTACAGCTGGAAAAGCAGTGTCCGTGTTGTTATGTTCACCTCCAAAAACAGTTCAGATCTGTAGGGGAATTGTTGTGTAAACAACTGCAGGGTAGCAGTACTTAATAGCTCTTGTAGACGTGTATTTGCTCTATTAAAATGAGTAAGAAAACGGGCAGTGACACGGCAGTAGGAAGGTCAGTGAAATTCTCTTCAGTTGAGCTGGTATTATAGGTTTGACAGACAGGAGCTTAAAAGCTGCTTGCCATAAGCTAACCATGCTCTTTTATGCTTTTCTTAGCATTTTTTATTTGGGGGCAACATTCTTTCGACTATATCTCCCTGGAATCATGGATCCCTCTCCAATTTAGAAGGTTACTCAATGCATTTGTACTATTTTTCCCTCAGATATTTGATACTTCTTAAAACTATGTGTATAAATATGATCTTAAATATAGGTTAAGAACATGAGCTTTTAACCCCTTAAAATGAATGCATACATTAAGGGCTCACTGATACAATCTATGTATTTGGCCTTCATTGGATCTCACTCATCACATTTGTGTACAGTAAGAAGTTTTGATTTGCGTTATGTGATTTGAGGAGACTACACTTCTTTTGATAAATTGAGCATTAGCCTTATTTACCTTTGGAGTGTGATTTCCTTTGTGGGAAGGCTTTAGTTCACGCACGATGGCAACTGCATTGCTGTAAAGTCCAGGCAACATTCTTCTACTTAATTGGGATTTCTTTTTTCTTTGCAGTTTAGAGATTGAAGCAGAGCTTTGTGCATGTTAGGCAAGCAGCCTGCCTCTGAACTATGCTCTGGGCCTTTTCACGGGGAATTGTTAATTTTATTTCAGGCATTTTTGAATTATAAGGAGCATGTATGTCTGCTTGCACACAGAGAATGCTGATGTGTGTGCGTTTGTACTGTGATTGTATAATACTTTACAAATTTGCACTAATCGATGGCCTCGAGGTTTGTTTTCAGATGCTAAGTCAGAAGCTTTATGTTGAGGAAATTGTGTTCTTTGATCCTTTATTTTCTTTACTTACAAGTGAGAGGTTTTCTTTTGCTCTTTCTGCTATAAGGTATTGTCTTCTGACATCGCTGCATAGAGGGGATTGACATTCTAACGCTCAGCTATTCTGATCTAAAAATTTTTCCTCTGTAGGGTGAGTGGGGCAGCATTTCCTTCTCCCACTGCTGCTGAGATGGCAGAGATTAGTCGAATTCAGTATGAAATGGAATACACTGAAGGTATTAGTCAGCGAATGAGGGTCCCGGAAAAATTAAAAGTAGCACCACCAAGTGGTGACCTGGAACAAGGGTTTCAAGAAGGAGTTCCAAATGCCAGTGTGATAATGCAAGTCCCAGAGAGGATCGTTGTTACAGGTACCTCACACTTGATTGAAAGTATCTCAGTAAATCTTTGTTTTTTATTTTTATAAACATTTTAGATTTTTCAAAATATTATTGAAAAAAGGTATTTGTACAAGTTTTACGAATGTGTGTAACCCCCACAGTCTACTACAGAACAGAACATTGTTGTCACCTCAAAAAGCTCACTGTTGCCCATTCTCCATCATTCTCAGGCCTCTGCTCTCAGCAGCTATGATCTCCTTTCTGTACCTAGACAATAGATTTGTCTTTCTTAGAATCTCCTATAAATGGAGTTCTACAGTATATTCTGGTTTGCCTCAATTTTTTTTTTTGCTAAGAGTAATTTTTTTTTTTCTATTTTTTTCCTCACCTTTGAAGCTAGGGTCTGTGCATTCTGGAAAAGTTCTGAGCCACCCAGCTCTATTAACAACGCTCCCAGTATTTTTCATTCAAGAGGCAGAGTTTGAGTTCTTCACTCTGCCCTTAAATTTGCCCTGAAGAACCTTCAGGTTTTATACCTGTCATCTTTCTGAACTGTTCAGTTAGAGAGCTGCCCCACCAAACCCACTTTTCACTTTGTTTTTATATTGGACAGACTTAGTGCACCCAAGAGCCACATTGTTGCAAGTATTATCTGTTCATTCCAGTTAATTGCTTTAAAATATCCCAATGTTTATCCTAAATAATGTGTGGGTCCATTTTCATTGGTTTATTCATTGACATAACGGACATTTTTGTTTTCTTTCTGAGATTCATAGAGCATTGAATATTCATGTTCATACTTTCAGGAGGATATAGACCTTCATGTCTCTAGAAGTGAAATGGCTATATTATGTTATATTTAACTTTTTAAATGTTGACAAATTATTTTACAAATGGTGTGCTACATTTCTTTTCTGTCAGTGATATTTTAGAGAATTTTTGTTGCTTTATATCAACTTCCCTGGTGATTGATAATTTTGAACATATGTGTATGTGGTTTTCAGTTACTTTATGTATTAGTTATTTTTATGTTACTGTGATAAGATACCATGACCAAGGCAACTCATAGAAGAAAGGGTTTATTTAGGCTTATGGTTCCAGAGGGATAAAAAGTCCATCACTGTCATTTTGGGGAGGCATGGCATGGACAGGCATGGTGGCTGGAGCAGCAAGCTAAGACCTCACATCTTGAACTGCAAGTATGGTAGGATGTGTGTTTTTTCCTCCCAGACCCAAGCTTCCAGAATAATGACTCATAAGACTTGGAATATATTTACAAATGCATATGCCATATAGGTAGCTAGCTCATAACTTAAAATAACCCATTTATACTAATCTGTATTCTGCCACGTGGCTGGTTACCTCTGCTCAGGTACCATGCATTTGTCCTCCTCACATCTTCCTGGGTAAATCTCCCATACCCAGCTCTATCCCAGAATCCTTTCTGCCTGCTGGATGTCCCACCTTCTATTCTACCCTTTCCTATAGGCCGTAGTTTGTTTGGTTTTTGTTTGTTTGTTTGTTTAATTGACAGGTGTTACATCCATACAATAAATACTCTTGCTACAATAATCCTAAAGCTGAGAGAGAGAGAAAACACTGGGAATGGAATAAGGCTTTTTATCTCATTTTATCTTAAAGCCTCCCCCCACAGTTTTTTGTCACCAAGACAGCCATATCCAAAATGTCTCCCAAAAAGCGATCAGCTGTAGAACAAGTGTTCAAATGACCAAGACTACAAGGGATGCTTGTCATTCAAACCAACACATTTTAAAGCATCTATTCAAATGTTTTGCCAATTCGAAATTTTCAGTATGAGAGTTCTTTATATACTTGAAGACAGGTTGCTTGAGTTGTATGTTTGTTTTGGTCACACACATAATGATTTCTGCACCATGGTGTTAAATATTCATGAAATATCAAATGAAGACTATGAACATTTTCTTTCTCTTTTTTCCCCCTCTTTTCCTAGGAAATAATGAAGATGTTTCATTTTCAAGACCAGCAGATCTTGACCTTATCCAGTCCACTCCCTTTAAACCTCTAGCACTGAAAACACCACCACGTGTGCTCACACTGAGCGAGAGACCACTAGATTTCCTGGACTTAGAAAGGCCGCTTCCAACTCCTCAAAATGAAGAAGTAAGTAGAATTACCACTGCTTACGTGTGAAAGGATATAGGCTAAAGTTAGAGTTAAGCAATGAAATATACCTTAGCCTTAGACAATGGACGTTTTCCATATGGCGATATTGGTATTAGTTGATTTCACAGTTCCCCAAATGAGATGTTAATGGGTTTGTATGTTCATTTGCTTGTTTGTTTTCCTAATTTAACAGTTGTGGTGGGAAAGTAAAAATCTAGAGCAAGTATTGCTACCATTTGTGTAGACTTAAAGGAAGAATAGCTCTAACACACCTACAATGACGCAAACAGAGTCTCAAGTTTGTTTTTGTTCTCTGTAGTGCTGGAGATTGAACCAGCATTTAAACATGCTAGGGGAATGCTTGACCACTGTGTTCCTGGGAAAGGAAGTTCTATACTAAGAAATAATGTGTCATCTGGCAAACAAAGCTCGAAAAACCCTTCTGACATTACCGTTCTTGCTACTTGATGAAAGTTCTCCACTAATTTGGTAACATTGATGTCCCTTATTAAAATTGGTGGTAAAATGGACTTACAGGGTACTAAAAGTGTAATTAAAGTCTTGCCAATGCTATTGATTCAAGACCGGTATTGAAGTTTCTATTGTTGAAGACAATATGCAGACGTATGTTTTAAAACTGTCTACTTTCATTTGCATGTAGTCCTTTCCAAAGAGGGGTAAGCATACATGTAAACCATGTTAGTATGATTCTTAGTACTGGGTCTTGCTGCTATTTTAGGTTTAGCTTCTGCTCACATAATTGAGGTGCTATGTTCATAGGTGCCAGAATGAATATCCTGCATATTGCTTATTGAAAAGCACTATATTTGAGTGTTAATTGTGGCCAAAAATAGTCAAGGTACTTTTTTTTTTTTTCACAACCAATTTTTGAGATTCTATGTGTGAAACACTTCAGGAAAAAAATAAATAATACTACCTTGCCCTCTGGACATTTTCCAGCTGCACTCTTGGAATAACAGTGGGAGTAGGTGAGGAGAAGACATTAATACACAGAGGAAGAAGTCAGCAGACTCTTTCAGTACATGTCCTGGGTAATTTTATATTGAATAGACACAGGCTAGAGTCACAAGAGGAGGGAACCCCAACTGAGAAAAATGCCTTCATAAGCTCTATAAGATTGGGCCATGAGGCAAGCCCATGGTTATGGTTGGTGTTATCCCTGGGCTGGTAGTCCTGGGTTCTCTAAGAGAACAGGCTAAGCAAGCCAGTAAGCAGCACCCCTACATGGTCTCAGCATCAGCTCCTGCCTCCAGGTTCCTGCCTTGCCTCAGTTCCTGTCCTGACTTCCTTTAATAATGAACTGTGACGTGGAGGCATAAGCTGAACAAACCCTTTCCTCCCCAAGCTGATTTTGGTCATGGTGTTTCATTACAGCAATAGTAATCCTAAGACATTATGCCTAATGTTTACCAATATTTGAAAGGCATCTCTAGACAAAAACATTGCTTGTTAATTCTCCCTGTATTAAAAAAAGAGCTGTGCAGTAAGCCATGTGAACAGAGCCTGGAACTTCAGAGTGCCAGAATTGTGGCAATTCTCAAGGTTCTTAGAGTAGATCTGGCTATGTGACTAGGGAGACAGAGGCTTTGACACTGATGTTGCCTCTCAAAATGGAACTTTCCTAAGCAGCTAGGGCCAATGTGAGCTCTTTCAGAGGATATGAAAAGAAGTCTGTGAAGGAGGGTTAGAAATTATGTCTTTGTATTTTGATGCCTGCAAGAGTGTTCAAGCTAGAGATTTGGAACCTACCATCATATCCAGTCAAGTAGCAGTATTCTTTGAAAGATTAGCTCAAAAAACTACCAAAGGCTCTTGGAAAAAGTTCACTGAAGTACAAATAGGAAACAGACCCTAAAGGACATGTTATAATAGCTTTGGCTCAAATTAGCAATTCCCACTTAAGAGAAATGCCATCCATTTGGAAAGTAAACCAGAAGAGGACTGAACCCCAAATGTAGCTAGAAGTGTTAGGTGATCTAGAAGAAACAAAGTCAGTTGGTGTGTGTAAACCATAACCCAATTTTGGAAGACAAGAAAAAAAGGTATGCTTTCAGAAAGGGAACTTTTGTTGTTCAATAAGCTGTCAAGCGTCATCCTCAGGTGCTAAATCTTACATCAGTCTTGCTCAGATGTGCATCCAGAGAGCTCAAGTATCAAGAGAAATTACATCCAGCTAAACCAGCTTATCAGAAATTACACAGAGAAAGCAGTGGCCCTGGGGGCTGAAGATAATACCTAATGCTAGGAATGTTAGTCTGAAAGTTAAGGTAGCAGTCATTCAAGGCAGCAGGTGGTTATCAGTACCATATGGTGGCCCAATAGAATTGATAAAAACCACTCTGAGAATGAGAAGCAGAAGATCATAGCTGACCTGAAGTATATAACAAGCCGTTCTAATATACCCCAGAGCTTACTGATGATGAAGACTCCCAGGTACTCAGTAAATGTTCCGGTATGCCCTACAATGGCAAAAAGAAAAGAAAAAGAAAATTTATGGATGAGAACCTCATCACAGTCCAGTAGCAATTTCTTTTACTCTCTTTTTCCTTGGCCATGGAGGAAAGTTGATTGCTGGCTTGCTGTGCAAGGCTTGCTTAGCCTGCTTTCTTGTAGCCCCAGGACCAGCAGCCCAGAGTTGGCACTGCCCATGGTGACCATCAGTCAAGAAAATGCACCATAGGCCAATCTGGTGAGGCATCCTCTTCCCGAATAGCTTTAGAGTGTGTCAAGCTAGCATAAGACTAGGGCAGCATACCCTTTGAGTCATAGGCAATACCTCTTCTTGGTGAAACATTGTTCATATTTCTATCTAATAACTCTAAACATTGTCTCAGCTGTTCTCTCTGTTGTTAGTTGCTCTAAGTTCTGGAAATTGATTGGAATGGGGAGGGTGTCTAGTCCAGTTGTTCTGTCCATGCTACCTTCTACATTTCTCTTTTGCTTCACTCAAAATCCCAGAAAAAGCAAGAGTTATACCCAGACTGGGTATAATTCTGGCACTTCACAGGCTGGAGGAGGAGGACCGCAAATTCCAGGCCAACTTGGACTTCATTGTCTTAAGACAAACAAAACCTTACACAGGAGTGTGGGGCAAATGTTAACGTCTTTTTTATACAGATGTTTTTTGTTGTTGTTGTCTTTTGTCACTACTATTAACTGTGTTCTTCTTAATCTATGATTTCTATGTCACTTGAACAACCCATATTGCTCTTTTAGAATAGTAAACTACCATTTAAAAAAATGCACTTAGTTCAAGTCTAAAGAACAGTGAACATAGGTATAAAAGGACCTCTTGTCGTTTATGAATAACACATGTAACTTGGAGTTTAAATACACTATAGGAGACTATTAATGCATGTGTGCATCTCTGTCTAGTGCTGTGTGCTATATAGCTAGACACAAAATAGCTTGTGGTCCATCTTCCAGGAATTAGCCTAGAGCTAAGGAACTTTGCCTTTCCAACCCTGCCACGTGGAAAAGCTACTCCACTTTAAAGAAAGCAACCATGACTGCTACAGTCGGTAGGCAGCAAGGATGAAGCCGGGTCTCAGAAACCAACACAGTCACAGTCACTGTGTATAAATAAAATATACTTGATCATGGGGTATTTAATTTTTCATATTTTTGGGTTAACCTTAAAAGACATTTGCATGAGGCATCAGACTGATTCCTGTGTTCTCAGACAGATCCCTCCTCCTCCCCATGTTCTTCTTGTTGTTCCCGGTGCTTCATTGTTTGCCTTGGGCCCTGATTGTGTGTGCTGCGAACATAGACCTTAAATTCTATGTCTATAAAGTACTTGATGAGCTTTCCATAATAATTGTATCCTAGAAAGTTTTCTGTAGATTCAGGGAGAGGAGAGGACAGTTTTACTAACCAAGATTGGTATTTACTTGAAAAACAAGAGTAGCTTTTATTTAAAAGTAAGCAGAAACTCCTAAGTGTAGACTTAGACTTTTTAACAAACCTACTTCATTTAGGGTTCTTAAATGCCTACCTTCTGTCCAACCCCACAACACCAGGTAGGAGAGAAAGAAGGTTAGTGGAAACAGGGGCAGAGTTCTCTTTGGTACTTCCTGCTGGATAGGGATGTAATTCTTTTGAGGGCAAGACCTATCAGTCATTAGGAAATCCAGAAGTCCAGGTAACCAGCAAATCAGCAGCAGCAGGACAATCCAGCAGCAAGCAGTCCTCCTCCAGGTAGCCACATCTTCTTACTCGCTGGGCTGTTATATTTATAACCCTCAAAGTCCTCAGAATTCAACTAATTCCAGCTGACAAAGACCACACTCTGCAGGAGACACTTAACAGGGGTGGACAAACTAAAATCCCCAACTTGGAATTTTAACAAAAACATGCTTATGTATCATAAACCAAAATGTCCAGAACACCTAAGTTTATGAGCATTTTAATCAGTATGGGATCAGTGGCTGGGGCGATGGCTCCTCAGTAAAGAGTTTGCTCTGTGCACATAAGGGCCTGGTTTGGAGCCACAAGGCCCATGTGGAAAGCTGGGTACACTAGCACATACCTGTGTAGTCCCAGCCCTTGAGGAGATGAAGGCAAAAGGACCCTGTTGTCTTGCTAGCCAGCTAAACCAGGTGAATCAGTGAGTTCTGGGTTCAGTGAGAGACCCCATCAAAAAATAAGGTAGAGAGTGATTGAGGAAGAAGCCTGACATCCACCTTCAGCATGCACACCATGTGCGCACGCACACACACACACACACACACAGAGAAAGGAAAAAGAAATTAAGAACAAGTCTTTCCTGTCCATACTGCACAGGCTTTACTTCTGGGTTTGCTTTTCTTAGCTCCTTGTAGTTTTGTGAATAGCCTTGGGTGAAGTCTTTTATGTTTTTTATGCTAAATAGCTTCTAAGCTAAGAATATTTTGTTTTCTTCCTCTGTTTGTGCCTTAACAGATCCGAGCAGTTGGCAGGCTAAAAAGAGAGCGTTCTATGAGTGAAAATGCTGTTCGCCAGAATGGACAGTTGGTCAGAAATGATTCTATGTGAGTAGAGCCATAGCATTGTATCTTTATAGGCTTTTTTCTTTATTTTGTCCGTTACGTACCTTTTTCTAAATAATTTTCATAGTTTTTAAAATTGTTTCACATTGGTGGATATCACTTTATACTTGAACTTTTTATAGTCGTAAAATCTGGTTATTTTGTTTGTTGTGAGAATTTCTCCGTCCTATTTTCCTCTTGTGTCTGGTACTTAGGTAAAGTGAGAATTCTCTCCCATTCACTTTCTGGCCAGTTTTTATGAACTCATCCCTTTGTGATGTCAAACATGTTAGCTTCCCTGGAAACTCAGAAAACTTCAGATGATACATCTCCTTTGAGAGCTTACAAAAAACTAGAGCACAGTACAGTTACCATTCTTAGAGTATACCATACTAAGTTCAGACCTGGCTCTAGAGTACAAAGGTACAGCATGGGCTCTTATGGGGACAGGAGACTAATAGTCAGAGTTGAAAAAAAAACTATTTTTGTCTTTGCTTTGAAAGAAGCCTAATGAACAAACTCACTGGCATCTGTCTATCAGTGAAGTTATATCTCAAATGTAAGTTTTTGCTTGCTTTATTAAAATTCCATTCTCTTTTATGTTGGGTGCAAGGGAAAACTATGAGTGCTTTGATTGATTGGAAAGTCTCTCATGGCAGTTGCAGTTATCCTGAAGATTGCATAGGAAGAAATTGGGTTAACTGAATGTATGTCTCTTACATGAAAGATTGTCTGAAAGGCTCTACCATTTATTGCATGATTTTTAAAAAATGATTGAGTATGTTTTTCTAAGTTATCTGGTTAGCAGATGTGAACAGACCCGTGAAACTAATTTTTCTAAAATTGTTTCCAGATACAAAAATGTAAAAAGACTCCACAATGTAGTCTTATGGCTAATGTCTGTAAAACCAGCTCTACGTGTAATGTGTAGTTTGTAAGGCAGCAGAGTCTTCTAATAGGCTTCCTGCTATTTAGTTACAACCTGCTTTTAAGGTCCTTAATTGACCTTTTATATCATTAAAATTAAAATATGATTACTTCAGTATTATCACCTTTTCACAAAGTATATAGTATTGATGAATGAATTTAGATGAAGGAAAAAAATCTTCAGTTCTTAGCACAAAATATTAAGAGCAAACTAATACTTTATTTTCTTTTTTTTTAATTGCTGTCGTGATATTTAATAAAAAGATCTTGATATTAATAAAAGCTTGCCCATTCTTCTACCATTGTTAATTTTATAATTTATAATATTTCTTTTTAAAGCTTTCTGATTTTTAGATTGATTATGGTCCATTATGCATGAACCTTTGTTTGCCTCCACTCTAGTTTATTCTGCAGCTCGAGAAGTGCAGATGGGCAGAGACATGGGCCTTTGTGTTTTTAATTACTTTAAAGAGGCAATGAGGTTGATTGTTGTCATCTGTTGGCACAAACATGAACTGTGACAATAGCATCATGTAGCGTTTTCTTTGTTATAAAAGCTGAATATGTAAAAGAGCATAATTATTATTTAAGGTGGCACAGATCAGATTCTGCCCCAAGAAATAAAATTTCAAGGTTCCAGGCATCGATTTCTACACCGGAGTACACGTAAGATTTTATCTGCTCTACTTTTCCCACATAGGGATTGATAAGTTTGCAGGCTTGTGTTAGTACTAATCCGTTTATCCTGGAACTGACATGTAATCTCCTAACTCTGCTCTAGTACTTCTCTGTCAGGATTTCTCAAACTGTCACTGTATACCTTATAAAGTCAGCCTAGGAGAGCAACTAGGGACATGTTACATGATTTGCAATATAGATGAAAGGAAAATGAACTAATTTCTGCACAGAAAGACCAAACCCTTTTCCATTTTCTGTATTTTGCTTGGGTTGGTCTCTGAGTTCTCTGCAGATTACCCTTAGCAAGGCTCAGCAAATCCCACTCATGTTTTTACGTTCAAAATCTTTCCTTTTTTTTTATTTTAACCCAGGAAAAAATGGAGTCTTAAGTGTGGTTTGTCATTAAAATTGTTTTTGTTTTGTTTCCCTGTAGAAAATTATGTTTGAAGCAATCTTCTGAAATCATTAAACCCTGGCTTTCTTTAGGTCTGACTGCCTGCTCCTGCGAGTAGAACATTTTGGTAGGAAGTGTAAACACACACACAAGGCTCTAGATTCCGTACTCAGCCTGCACAAAACATGCCTGTGCAAATGAACAGTGAGCGCTGCCTCCAAACAGTAGGCAGACCACACTGATGGCCAGTGACTCTTCTCACGCTCTGACGGCTACTGTGCTTCCAGCACTCACCAAATTGCCTCAGTCGTCGGACAGCAAATTACAGTTCTCTCTGTTTAGGGTCTCAGAGAGACCGTGTGTGGCGCCCACACATTCCAGCAGAGGAAGGTAGAGCTGTGCAAACTCAAGGCCAGCCTTGTATCCAGAGCTAGTTTCAGGTGAGCCAGGATTGTATGCTGAGACATTTTCCCAGGGGAAAAAAATACATAAATGTCCCAGAGAACTGAACAGAGTTTGTGTTTCAGTAAAAATGTTTTGGGTAGGTTTTTTGTTTTTTTGTTTGTTTTTGTTTTTTTCCTGCTTTTTTCAGAGGCTAGTTCTTCAGCAAAGGCATTAATTAACCTCATAGTTTGAGAAACATCATTCCTATGAAAGCCTGTGTAGAGTTCTCCTATTTGAACTTTTCTCCTGATGTGTTGTGCTGAGTCACTGGTTTTCATTTAGGTCTGACATTGACTAGCCATTGTTACTTAACCCTTATATGTAAGAGTCTGTGAGCATGAGGTAGAGCTGTTACTAATGACATAACATGGTAAGCATGGATGCATCTTCAGAAGTCGTTAAACTTTTACTTAAAAAACTAAACTTGACATTTTTCTGTTTTATAACATTAGTAGAAGCAGTTTATTATCAAAATGCATTCTATTAAATTATGTATAAGACTGTATTTGTGTTTAAATGCCTGATCTCAGTGCCTTATGTTTTTATTTTCTACAATAGTTGATTCAGTAGAAACAAAAAAATAACTAAGTCTTGCTTAATTACTTGGTTAGTGATTGGACAAAGGTGAAAACCTAACTCCAAAATCACTCTTTCCCTCCACAGTTGATTGCAATAGCTTGTTAAAACTGTTGGAGTGTTCACATATTTTTCTTTGTTGTTTTTTAATGAAATTTATTGCTTAAAATGTATACAGGAGCACCTGAGGTTGCTAAATTATTTTCCTAATTTAGATAAAAATTACTAAGTTATTGTTTCTAATTAAGATAATTTTGTTACCTTACAGTAAAATTAATCAGCTTAAATGTAACCCTTCCTGTCCTGTTTTTGCTATGTCTAGAGAACTGCTATGTAATTGAAAAGTTAATTTTTTTACCAATCTTTGAAATATTAATGTTTTCTTTGATCAGATATCTTTAATAGTATTGATATACTTGATGTCATGATCTGGGGAGTGTAGCTCAGTAGAAAACGGACTTGCTTGGCATGTACAAGCCCCGGGGTATTATCCCTGGAACTGGGGGAAATTTTTTTAAGGTATTTTGTTTTGCAGGACTTAATTTCATCCTTTACTGTTCTACATAAACATTTCTCTTAAGGGCTAAATATCAAAATAAGTCTTGTTTATGGTGTGGTTTATTACTAAATCAGCATTTTATATACTCAGTCTTAGATATGTAGATTTTTTATATTCAATTTATTGATTTTCCTGATATTCATTAAAATTAATCATTAGGGATATAATGTGCACCTGTAGATTATTATAGAATCTAACCTTTTATTCATTCTGTCTTGAGAATTCGTTGCCATTAATCTGAAGTCAGTTTATGTATTTATGTTTGACTATTCTGTAAGACAGCCACTTCATTTCCTGTGTATGTACTTTGAGATTTTTCTTCTTTTGTTTCTTGCTTTGTCTTTTCTTCCCTCCTATTCCTTCTTCCTTTGCTTACACCTGATCACTTCAGTCAAACTAAGTACTCTACAGTGAACTATGTTGCTTACACCTGATCACTTCAGTCAAACTAAGTACTCTACAGTGAACTATGTCCTCAGCCTGCTTTTCAAATTTAAATAGTAAATAACTATTTTTTTTATATTTTAATGGACAAAATTCCAATAAACTTTATTCTAAATTTGGAATCCATCCATTGACATTGTTGCTTTGATTTAAAGTTCTAAAAATGAAAAATGTGCTTATTCTACAAATTGTTTACTTATTAATATGATGTATAAAAATGCTCATGTGAACCCTAAAATCAGAGAAACAGTGAAGATTTAAAACTTGCTTAACAGTTCCGCCAGCTTTGCTGTCAGCTTTTTAATGGTATGCATTGGATTTTCTTCCTCCCTTATTGTAGCATCAGTCTGTCTTTCCATCTTCATCAACCTGTCTGTTTCTGTGTTTCAGCCCCAAGGAGAAAAGGTGACTCTTGGCTAAGGGTTTCTCCCCTGTGAGCCTCCACCTCACCCCCCCCCCATTCCACTCCCCAGTATCTCCAGGATGCCAGCAAATAGTGACACAGAATTACGTTTACAATCCTGTCCCTGGTGACACAGCATAAACATGAGCTTACGCCTGGCTCTGGCACACCAGCGCGTCAGGTCTTCACTCTGTGTAAAAAATGTTTAAATGCAGCCTCCACACGTAGGCTCCACTCCAGCCACTCTGGGAGCTTGGTTTGTTGGCTTTTCTTGTTTTCTTTTTATCGCCCTGCTATTTTCTGGTACTTATTGTGGGGTTTGCCAAGTCCTATGGATTAGATTATACACTGACTTTTTAATATGTATGTAGGTATGTATATATAAGATTCTACATTGACTTATATGTGTATATTTGTGTGTGTATACATACACATACACACTCATTCTTCTGGAATGAAGATTTCTAGTCTCTAAATTGATATCTAAAAACTTTAGTTTGTCTTGACATCATTTGACTAAGTTTTAGAATTTTTGTATGTGACAAGATTTGGCTTAGATTTTTCTCTTCCAGGTAGTCTTTGGAAAGTACCATTTTTATATTTATTGTACCATTCTCTTTAGATCATGAAGTTACTCAAAGTTATTCATAAACTTAGAAATTTTGTTTCATTTTTGAAACTGAGGATATTAGATGACAGTAACTATCCTTTCAAAAAAATGTCCTACTTTTTAATTTTAGTTTTCAGACTAGTACATGTTAAAGGAGGAAGAGTACATAAAAGATTTTTCATGTATGCAACTGTTCATGATTCTGCTGTTTTGTTTTGTTTTTTTGAATATCGCACAAAAAATTAAGATTAGCCTTTGTGGTTCATACCTTTAATTCCCAGAGGCTGGTAGGTCCCTGTGAGTGTGAGGCCAGCCTGGACCACATAGTTTCTGGCCAGCCAGGGTTACCTAATGAGACCCTGTCTCAGAAAAGAAAAAAAAAATTAAGAACAAGATTTGTCTCATATGCTTTGTACCTGGAAACTACTAAACCCTCATGGTAGTCATGGTCTTCTCTGTAAAAAGAACAAGCCTCAAGTCCATGTGTTAGTCAAATGCCTCATGCTTCAATATTAAACAGCTCTCTGAAGATGCCAACACAAATATTAAGAATTTAGGTCAGAACTATACAAATAGCTTTATCTAAATGTGATCAGTGTACTAAAAGAAATTGTGAATCTCAGCTATTGGCATGAAGGAATAATTTGATTTTTGTCACTGAATAGTCACTCATCTGCCATTGTGCTAACTTAAGTGTCTTTGTCTTCCTTCCTGGGAAGTTTTTATTTTAGAAATTCAGCTAATTAAATTAAACAATCAAAATGCAACTACAGTTTCTGAGGTTTTCACTCATCATTTAATTATTTCCCGTTATAAACTCAGCTCACGTCGTTGTCTTTGTGAAGTATTTGAAGTGGTGTCTTTATGGAATCTTGCTGGATTCATGCGTTTAGATGTTGATATTTACATAACAATTCTGTGTCCCGCTCTCTGTCATCCGTAAGTCATGTGCAGTGTTGATTTTTAGGTCTTGGCTTTCCTGAATTGCGTATATGTATGTCACTGAATAAGCAATGCCTCCTTTCTCCATGCCAAGCCCTGAGCACACTCATCACTGGATCGGTTCCTTCCAGGTTGTTCCTTCTGCTTAGACACTCACAATCTCAAACCTGCAAGTGTTGCATCACAGCTGCTTTTTTTAGCTGCTTTGTAAAAGCAATTCAGAATGTTTTTTAAAAACCTTCTGTTCGACTGTTCTCTTGGGTAGTTGAGGGTGGGAAATGTGGGCAAAAAAACCAAAAAGATTAAAAACTGCTCCGGTGAAGTTTTATGAAAATCTGACTTGAGTTTTTCTCTTCATTTGCTGTGCCTATGTGAACAGTGTGACACCGTCGCCACCACAGGCTCGGGTCTGTCCTCCCCATATGCTACCAGAAGATGGAGCTAATCTTTCCTCTGCCCGCGGCATTTTGTCACTTATCCAGTCTTCCACTCGTAGGGCTTACCAGCAGATCTTGGATGTGCTGGATGAAAACCGCAGGTGATTTGTTGGCAGTGGCCTTGCCACTTTGTTGCATATGTTTTGGCTTCTTATTTAGTGGACTGTGGTGTTGTCTTTTTTGTTTGCTCCTTTTAGTCTCTAAGTTGCAATGGTTTGAAATGGCTTGCTTGCTTTCTTTTAATTTGAAATTATTGTCCAAAATTCACATTTCGCAAGATTCCATTAGCTTCCTCAGTTGTGGAAGATCCTTGGTTCTGTACGTAGGAAATGTAACAACTGTTTTCAAAGGCCTTCCTGACCTGTTGAAGTGCTTGGCTCCACTTAGAAATACTGTCACGGGACTGTTGGACTGAGTGTGGCATCTGGGATACGAGTTGTCATCAGTCTTTTGATTTAATTACCTATACTAGTGATAGGAGTGAAGTAATAAAGCAGGAAGGAGAGGTTGCAGTAGCTCCCCATGGACTTTTCTGTTAGCTGTGGATTCTAAACCCATACTAGAAATTCTATTTCTAAGTGCTATTACCATTTTTAGATGATGCTGATATTTTTTCAGTATATTCATAGATAATACCTCACTTTTGAGCATCTCCCAGTAATATCGTTAGATTTATACTTCAGCTTGTTTAAACAAGTAATTTTTTCCAATCATTTAAAATACTTTTGCTCTTTGCTTCATTACCTTACCTTATCTTTTAAAAAGACCGAAGTCTGGGAGTTTCGTTGGCATCCTGTGGGAAAGTCAGACAAGCTTCACTCCATCTCTAAACATTGGTCTGGTGCTTTGAACGTCAGTGTTTGAAATTTTGTTTTCATTTTGTTATACTGTTAATGTTTGCATTTTTGAAGGAATCCCAATAAATTAAGCCTTAATTTCTTAACTTGGTGTCTCTTGCTTGCTCAGAACAATTTTGTTCTTGCTGCACCTTTAGTCCTTGCAGACCCAGCTCTTCACTTGCGCCACGAGTGTCTGGACTACTCATGTTGTTGAATTCACGGCCTTCTCTGTAGCCGTAGGTTAACGCAATGGTGTGCATTTGGGCCATAGACCGTCACACTGTATTGAGAAAAAGAGCCATGTCTGTGTAAATACAGATATACATTTATGGTTATGGTTTGTTTCTTTTTCTCCATGTGCTTAGAGGCCCTTTTTTGCTCTCTGAAGCTTCATGGATGCTGGCTGTTTGGAAGCGATAAACAGCAGCAGGTTTCAGATGAAATGGTGTATATTAGGGAATCTCAGATTCTTTCTTGATTCCTTCACTAAACAGCTAGCCGCGTGCTAGCCCTAAGCATATCAATGTGTCTCTTCTCTGGCCTCCTTTTCCTCATCTGTTAAGATGAGAAGGGATTGTACTTGGCTGATTAGACTCTTTTGTGACAAGTCTTCTGCCCGTCACTATTGTTTAAACTATGGGGCTGATGCTTCAGGTCGTCCCTGGTGTGGTTGGAGAGCTTGGAGGTAATGAACAGAAGGCCCTGACCTCAGGAGCTAAAATCGGTAAAGGCTGTTTTCACCTTTCTCTTTCAAACATTTTTTTTCCACCAGATATCTTCTTCAACTTTTTTGTTACGGTAGCTCCTTAGGAGACATCGTATTCATGGGTCAGAATTTGTCATGTCAGATACTATTGTAGTGAAAACATCCTTTGTAGGTGTCCTCACTAGATGACAGAGTTACAGTCCATTGTTCTGATCCCACCTCCTGACAGCACATCCACAGCTCAATACAGTGATAAGGAACTTGAAGAAGTATGAATTTTTTTTTTCCTCTATGGCAGGAAAAAATTTACCTAAAGCTCAAGCATTCAAAATCTGAAATCTTACCAGTGTAAAATTTGTATGCTTTTACTGTGAAAATTTATTTGGGACACTAAGTGAATTTTTTTTTTTACATTATAATATTTTAATGATGTCCTATTTATCATATCAACCCAAATATTCTGAAATTGAAGAAAGCTGTGTGTGGTGGCTCACACCTTAATCCTAATACTGGGGCGTCTGAGGCAGGAGAATTGCCCTGAGCTCAGGGCCAACCTGGGGTGTAGAGTGGAACTTTGAATCAAAAAGCAAAAAAGACCAGGGTGTGGTGGCACATGCCTTTAATCCCAGCAGCACTCGGGACAAAGAGGCACAAAAGTCTCTGAGTTCCAGGCCACCAGGGCTGCATTGTTTCTAGCTGTTTCACGATTTAGCGCCTCAGATTCGGAGAGTGAGTTTCTCCTCAGTCTTGCCAGTGCTTCATTACAGAAAGGGTTTTGATTTCTGCTTTTGTCTTTTATTTGTACAAAGTTTAATCAGAATTTTAAATGCCAAACCAGTTTTTGTTTTTAAAAAACGGGAAAATGTTTGAAGAGTTTGGGCTGATTTTTCAAAGAAATTGGAATGTGAAATTTGGATAATGTTCTTGCATGATTATAAAATGATACACTTGCTTGTACAGTTTTCAGCTCTTTTATGTTCCTTGCTGTTCATCTTTTTTCTTTTCTGTTTTATTGCTCTTGGCTATCATGCTAATACAGTATCTTTGCACTTGGGGACTGCATATTAAATATAGCGAATTTAAACTGGAAGTATTTGTCAGAAAAAGCAAGAGCTTTCAGTTTGTTTTTACTGTAAAACGGTGGAGATTCATAGTCTCTCAGCATAAGAACTACATCAAGTGGCACTGTCCCTCTACTGGATTTTCTGCTTCTCTGTGAGCTTGGGTGTAGGTAACCTACACAGAGTCAAGCATGAGAGCCAAGTGAATTTCTTTGTTTGTCACAGAGTTCACGCACACGAGTTAGTGCTACAGGTTTAGGAACCTGCCCATACATCAGGAAGGAGGAGGATCAGGTGTTCTTTGCTCTGTTGGCAGCCATAAAGCTGTTGAGATTTGTCCTTTGCTGGGCAGAAATTGCCCATCTCGTCTATATTTGTTAGAGCTGCGCATCTCATTCACAGTGTAAAACTAACACCTTCTGGAGAAACTTAGTCTCTTATATGTAAATCATTATTTAAGCATTAATATATGAGTTGTGCATAAGCTTTATGGGAAGGCTCGATTATTTTTAGGTTTTGGGGTTTTTGAATGACTGGAATAGAAACCAGTGTATGAATGATTTATATTTTTGGCAAGTATCAGAAAATATGTAACCTGGAAGATTACAGTTCATACAGTATTTGTTATAACTTTTCTTTTTAAAAATGTTTAGTTTTGGTCCTCCAGCCTGTTTAATTACAATAATTTTGTAGAAAAGAAATGTGTTCTCTTAATTTAGACCATTTTACTTACTCAAAAATGTCAGTATACAAATCACTACAAAAATTTGGTAGCCTTAGATTTCCTTCCCTTTTGCCACTCTAATTACAAAATACATTATTGAAGTATTTCTTTAACATTAAATCATTCTTATGGTAGAAACTGGTGCTTGAATGAAGTTTCTAATTTTGCCAAATACATGTCTAATTTACTTTTATATTATATGTATCAATTGCCAGTGTGAGAAGACAAAATGAGATACGTTGTGAAAGGTAACTGTATTGTTTTCTCGCTCTGCATTTGTAAACGGGAAATCTCTGTGGTGGAATATGCTCAGTATGGCAGATCAGTGTGGCCATATTAACACACATGTTTTTAAAGACTTTAGGAAGCACACAAGAGTGGCTTCATTTCAGTAGCCATTCTCATATTTTTATAACTTAAATTACTACAGGACATTGCTTTCCTTATTTCACAAACTAGAAGTTAGTAAGACTTCAAAATAAATGTACGATTCATCAGTATTCTATAGCAAGCAAAACGAGCCAAGCCTGTCTCTCCTCCCTCTTAATCCCTTGTATTCTGAGCTCCAAGAGTATCTATACTTTAGTCACTTGAGGGCATGTAGAAACTCAACGTTAAATTCTTCCTGTGTAAACTGGGTTGTTTTTGTTTTGTTTTTTAAGTCATTTAGAGGGCTAGCATTGCAGATCAGCTGAACTGTCTGTTTGATTAGCATTGATGAGGGCCCAGCTCTGATCCGGAGCACCACAGGAAGTAGGGTGTGGTGGCAGGGGGATCTGAAGTTCTGAAGTCGTCCTCAGCACCACAGAACTTGGGGCCAAATTTTGCTAAATGCAACCTTGTGTCAAAAGAAAGAAGGAAAAAATTAAAAGCGGGGAAGAAAATAGTAGTTTATATTCTACATCTGTAACAACGTTAGAAAAAGCTAGAAATGTGCTTCTAAACCCTATAATGATTGTCATACTTAAGTTGAGGCAAACCTGATTAGTTACTTAGAAAATATCCCATATTTCTGACTATTAAACATTATTATTTTAAAGGCAGTTAACTGGTGGAGATTTAGTTTCTTTATTTTAGCAAATTTAATTGGAAAGGTTCACAACTTAACCAGGTTAGAACTAATTGTCCTCTCCCACCAACGCTTGTGTTGAAAGTAAATGACGAGCCCCACAAAGTTTTCCGTGCACACTGATCCTTATGCAGCAGCCCTGTATGTCACTGGTGGTTGTCTCGGGCTCAGAGCCGCTCACATACTGATGGCACTTGGGTATTCTCCCTATGCTTTCTCAGCTGTCTTGACCCTGCTCAGTGTGAGAACGAGAACAGCTGCATTAAGACAGAGTGCTTATCTGACCCATCAGAATTAATGAAGCAAGAGGGAAGGAATTGTGGGCAGAGGGTATTTCTCTCAGTTTCTAGTTTATATTTACGAGCAGCCATGATCATGCAGGCGCTAACAGGTCCTTGATAGGGTTTTGCTTTTTTCAGTTGGAAAGAGAAATTACACTTTTTAAACAGCACCATAGAGGATTTGTTGGTGCTATTTTGTCATATTTTTGTCTTTTTTGATTATGAAGGGTTAAATTATGAAATCATTTAAAATGGGGAGGACACATGAAACAAGGATTTTCAAATCATTTGAGGAATATTATATTGTACTGAAGCATACAATATAATCCTATCTGACATTTGTCTTTTTTTTTTTTTTTCTTTATTTTCGTACTTCTCTGTTTCCTGATTCTGTCTTGTGTCTTCTGCAAAAACCTGCCCTAGACCTGTGTTGCGTGGTGGGTCAGCTGCCGCCACTTCTAATCCTCATCATGACAACGTCAGGTAACTTGGAGACTTTGTGATTACCAAAGGACACAGATTTGATGGAGCTTGTATTGTGCAGGACATCATAATGCATGCTGTAGCCATGATTGTTCACATTTATACAGCTTAGGCCTCTGCAGCTTTCTCTTAGGAGAAATTCTGTGTTTTGCTAAGAACAGGGTGAGAATATTATATAATTAATTATATATGTAATTATATATTATAAAGTTATTCTTGGCTATGGTGGTACATGCCTTTAATCCCATCACTCAAGAGGCAGAGGCAGGTGGATCTGTATAATTTTGAGGCCAGCCTGATCCTACATAGTGAGTTCTAGGCCAGCCAGAGCTAGGTAGAGTGACCCTGTCTCAGTATCCCTCCTCCCAAAATTATGGCATGGTGTGAAAAGAATATACAGTATACTCTGTAGCAGTATTTTAGTAGCTTTATAAGGGATCATGCTAAAGCAGAGAAAAGATTTAATCATAAATTTTATGTACACTAACTTTCATTATCTGTTGATTTGAGCCTTTGTCTCCTGTATTTGCCCCTTTTATACCATCAGATATGCTTAGCCCAAGTCATATGCAAAGACAAGGAATAGCAGGTACAAGTGTGCTCTTGGGGGCGGGCCAAAACCATCAGGTAGTTCCCCATCTTCTGCAGACACATCGCTAATCAGATGCTGTCACTCTAATTTTCCAAGCCAGTTTTAAGTAGAATTGTGTTAACTGTTACAGTAGGTTTAAAACTGGCAGCATTGTTTCTCTTCTTTAGAAGAGGCAGACACCTTCCAAGCAAGAGAAAAGGGAACCATCCATTTCTTGTTAATCTCATCCATGCTGCATTGGTGGTCCCTAACCACTGTGCTCACTCATTTCTTTTGCACTTAATTTAGTCCACACTAGTTTCCCCTGGTAGCTTTTTATTAGTTTTTAATCTCTTTAACTTTCTGTGAAGGAGTTTTCAGTGAGTGGTATAACAGCATTTGTTAGAGTTTTTAGTTCTGAAAGATACAGTTTTAGATTAAAATTATTTAATACTTTTTTGTTTTAAATTAACAGTGAAATCTTGGTATGTACTTATGTTTTTTACAAATGCAGATTATTTTAGATTTCTAAAACTCTGGTTGATTCAGTATGTAAATGGTAATTTTTTTTCATGTAGACTTTATTTTTGTTGTTGTTGAGGCTAGTTCTCTTTGTGTGTGTATTGGTGTGTATGAGCATCCCTGTTCCTTTGTGTATGGCGAAGTGTGGTTGCGTGTGTGAGTGCGAATACATATACACAGAGAGCCAAAGATCAGCCCTGGAGTCATTCCTCAAGTATTAGCCTCCTTGGTTTTTGAGACAGACAGAGGCTCTCACTTTGCTTGGAACTTGCTGATTGGGCTAAGTCCGCTTGTCAGCAAGCCACAGGGACCCTGCCTCTGCCTCCCCAGCACTGAGATTACAAGAATGCTCCACCATGCCCAGCTTTTTTATTTTTAACATGGATTCTAGGGATCAAACTTAGGTTCTCAGCTTTGGACAGTAAGCATTTTCTGGCTGAGTATCACCCCAGCCTTCCATTTACTGTTGAGGCAGTTGCTGGTATTCTTGGATAACTCCTCCCTTCAGTTAGTCACCTCATGTGTGGCCTTGGGGTAGTAGAAAATTTTTATTATTTTGAGGATAAGACAGAGGGAAAAATATCTTTGATCCATATTTTTTCCCACTAATCATTTAGTAATTTGGGGGGCAGGCTGTATTATTATGGTTCTAAGAACAGACCCAGGGACATACACAGGCAAATGTTCTTCTATTGAGCCACACCCCTAATTCCAATAGTTCTTAGCATTTATAAGAGTAATTTGCTCAGTTTACAAACAGTTCCAACATCTACTTATGAACTAAGTTTATTTCTCTTCATCAAGTTTATTTATTTTGAGTATTTTAGGACACATTGTTTCTAAGAGAAAAGGTGTGGTTAGTGTAAACCATTTGACCTTAGACATAATGGAAACTGCAAGTAAGAGATTGCTGTGGATTATCTACAATGGATACATGCCATCTATTATTTAAATTCTTCTTGGCGTGCTTTATTAAAGTGATTTGGAGTTGTTTTAACAACTAACACAATAGAGATTTGTGAATAGACATAAGCTCCTTCATATCCCTTTATATGAGGTTATATAGTTTTTCTGATGGAGAGTTGCTGGGAATATGAGAGTAATGATCGATGTTCCAACTCTATGTAGCTTACATAAGAGTAACTTTTAATTTTACTTGTATTCCACTCATGTAGAAAGGTTATGTCATTTCATGAAATAACTATAAAGTAGATATACATGTGAATAAATTGCACTGTGTATAAAATATAACTCAGTAAAAGTGTTCATTAAAATGATTTTTAAAATGTAGAAACCTGGTGCTAGAGAGTTAGTTTGACATGTTAAGAGTGCTTGCTGCTCTTCCAGAGTTCTCAAGTTCAGCTCCCAGCACCATGTGGGCAGCTTAGTCACCACCAGTAACTCCAGCTCCAGGGGATCCAGAGCCCTCTCCTGGGCCTCCTTATGTACACATGTGGAGTACTCTCAGATACACACACACCACGTTTCAGATTCTTTTCTTACAAATGTAGAAACCTAGACACATGGAAGAAATGGCATTTCGATGTACTTATTTTTTAAGTTTTTATTTTAAAATTTTAGGCCTATAGGCAGGCTTGATGGCATATGCTTGTAATCCTAAGGGAGGAAGGTGAGGCAGGAGGATCAGGAGTAGATGGCCATCCCCTACCATATAGCAAGTTTGAGACCAGTCATCTGAGACTCCATCTCTAAAATGCCACTGTATCCCCAAGTTGAGTGCATTCTGACAAAAAGTAGTCTAATGTTCCTTTTCTGCATCGTCCTGGTGGTTTTCCAGCATCATTGCTTTATATGCAGCTCCTTGTTGGTTTATTATCGAGACAGTTCTGTAACTGAGTGTTGTAGCAAGAGATTTAGAAGATTATATGTTCATGTTTGTGGGAGAATGTAATAGTAACTGCAAGTCAGAAGTAAATTGAAATAGCAAAGAAAGGCAGGCGGAGGTGAAAGAGTAATACATGATCAGTGTTCTGTTTGCAGTTTACATTGCACTCTCTGCCATTGAGTATGTCTGCAGAGTGACATGTGGACATGGTTCAGATGATTCCTGGCTCAGGTCCTTTCAGACAGGGACCCTTTCTGTAACATTGCTGTGTTTTCTGGCTTGGAAAAAAGAATCTAGCCGGTGTTTTTCCTCCTTTTTCCCAGCATCACAAATGGTCATCTTAAGCTGCTTTAACTTACTTGAGTCAGTTCAAATGGAGAATGCTTATTCCATTGTTAGGCGTGAGTAGTGTGCAACACAGTGCTCTTGGCAAGCGCTCTCAGCTTTTAACTTGTGTTTCAATATCTTAACTGCTAGGTATGGCATTTCAAACATAGATGCGGCCATTGAAGGAGCATCAGATGACGTGACTGTGGTTGACGCAGCTTCATTAAGACGTCAGGTAATTACTGCCCCCAGTAAAATGTAGTTTAAAGCTATCTTTATGAAATATTTCAGAGGAATAGTTGGCATAATTTTATTTTTTTATCCTATGGATCCCATGAATTCAGATTATCTAGTAAACTGTAATTGACTTTCAGATTTATTAAAGATTTGTTAAATCACCATTCAAATATTTTTTATCAACATAAAACATTGCTACCAAAATGATTAATCTGGCTAGCATCAAAGAATCTTAATGTATTTACAAACCAGTCTATTCCTATATTGTGTGTTTTGTGTGTTTAGCTTTTGATACATGGACAGTCATTTTGGGGACAATTTTTACTATATGTAATTTCTTCTTTTTGGAAAACACTGCTTTGAATTTTTGCACTGCCTCTCCATACATAATTTATCACCCTACCATAAGCCCAGTGTGTAGAGTTCATGTGCTTATTTTTAACATGCTTTCCTGCTGTTAAGGCATATTTGGTGTTCTCCTTATGTCTGCCAAATATATACTGAAGGTCTGAGTGGCATATCAGAGGGCTCACTATAGTAGGTAATTGGGGGCTGTCTGGGTCTCAGCGTGGACTGAGAACACAGTTATTCGAGTCCAAGGCTGTACAACTGGTGCTCAGCTAGGAGGCACAAAGAGGAGAAGGCGTCCTGTGCTCCTCCTGGGGTAGCGCCGCCTGCCACACTAATGCAGCAAGTGTCCTTGCACTCTCCCTAACTCAGAGTTACAGAGTGCAAGTGAATAAGCATGTTTAAGTCGGTTTTACCGTTGTGGATAGTATTTTGTTTTCTATTTATCGCTCTGTTTGTTGCGATACAAATGGAACTTCCAGTGTAATAATTTCTTTGACAAGTTAATATATTTTTAAAAATCTGATTGCTGCATGCATTAGTACTATTTTGTATTTAATGTTTGTCCTTCATTTAGATAATCAAATTAAATAGACGTCTACAACTTCTGGAAGAGGAGAATAAAGAACGTGCTAAAAGAGAAATGGTCATGTATTCAATTACGGTAGCATTCTGGCTGCTTAATAGCTGGCTGTGGTTTCGACGCTAGAGGTAACCTCAGCATTCACATATATTGTCTCAACACCTGGAAATATAAAGGATTTGCAAACTTCACTGTTTCTGTCTTTGCATTGTATGCCGTTTTTCTAGTCCAAGCCCTGAAAATGTATTTCTTCCAGAAAGCAGGCGAGGACCTGTGTCTGTAAAGGCCTGTTGGTTGCTGGTCTGCGTTCAGCCCGTTCTGCAGTGGCACCTACTCACTTTCCTTCTGCATGTTTTGTAAATAGGCTCCAGGTTTGTTTGTTTGTTTTTAAAGAAAATGAGTTTTTGGCCTCATCAGTCTGTAAGCTAATTCTCTAAACAGAAATGACAGTCATAAAGCGTGAGTTTAGAAACTATCTGTAAAAGTGTTTCGTTCTGTTTCTCAGATGATTAAACAGTATCTTTGATAGATGCTTTTTGTATCTGCATCTCAACATTAATGCTTTTGAAGTCATAGTCTGGTGCAGGACTTAAGAAAAATCAAACCACCTAACTCTTCTTGATCACCTGTACAGATGGAGTTTAAAAACTCCCAGCAATTGAGCAGTTTATCTGTGTGCAATATGTTGTTCTGACTTTCATCTTAGTTTTCTATAAAGTATGTTTTTACCAAGTCCATGTGTGAATGATTTAAAAACCTAAAAAACAAGGTATAAATGTAGTGTACTTAATAAACTGTCAACCAAAGCAATGTCTATGGGAAAATTTATTTCATCATATGAATGTCTTTACTGAGTCTTTCTGTCCTAGGAGCAGGTAGTGCATTAGTGGCCTCTGGGTCACAAGAGCCTCCTGGGTTTCTCAGATCTCCACCCCAGGGCAGGGCTGGCTGGCACTGTGAATGGTTTGCTAATTTATTATATCTATGAGAGTGATTCAGGTTTATTTTAAAACACAAAAACCTTTATAAAAGTACGTATCCTGTTTTTTACTGTAATATTTGCTTGTTAAATACACTAAATCTCATCAAACTAACCATGAGTAAAGCTAAGTTTTAGGAGCCTTTACTATTCAAAAGTATTTTTTTCAAGAGCAGGTAGAATTCAGCTAGGTACAACATCGTTGCACATTATGAGTTATCTTTTGACAAAGAGTCTGAGGGAAGTCCTAAGATTCAGGTAGATTTCACATTGCTGTTCTTGCTTCTCCATTAATCCAGGAGGAGGGTTCTTTCTTGCTCTTAGATTATGTGGCTTTGACAAATTAAATGTATAACTTCTTTTGCTGAGCAGGCATAGAAAAGATTACACAAAAGGACTGGTGGAAGTAAAAGGAGCTGCTGGGAGATTCGTACAGAAGTTGTCATTTTTCCTGATTGCGAAGACCTGAACATTCTTAGATAGAATGTCCTACATTGGTTAAGCAAAATATGCTAATTACAGGGGTAGCGGCAGGGCATAGGAATGGGTATTAGGAACAAATCCAATCCTAGTCAGGATAATTAGGAAATTCTTTGTAGATACTTAAGCAGAGATGGATTGAAATTTCAATAAGCAGAGAACAAAAAAAGAATCTGGGACCTGGATGACCAAAGATACTGTTAGGGCTCATGAACATCAAAAAAAAAAAAAAAAACAAACCTAAGAATAGCAGATATTATCACACTACTTCTGACATTTGCCTTTCTTTTTCTGGAAATATTTTCTAAGCATTTTCTGTTTTAAGGAATTGACAGATGAAGGGCAGCGGTGTGGGAATGAATAAAGCACATTAAATAATGAGGACTGCAAACTGGCGTGGCTTAACAGATGAAGATGGTATGGACAGTCCATGGGGCTGGACTTTGAAGAAGAGAACTGACTCGTGGAAGTTGTCTTCTGACTTCCACAAGCACTGTGGTGGCTCACACATATCCACACACATCATTAGCAAGGAACATTGGAAGCCAGGCAGTGGTGGAGCACACCTATAATCCCACCACTGGGGAGGCAGAGGCAGGCAGAGCTCTGAAATTGAGGCCAGCCTGGTCTACAGAGCTAGTCCAGGACAGCCAAGGCTACTCAGAAGAAACCCAGTCTTGAGAAAACCACCCCCCCCCCCAAAAAAAAAAAAAAAAAAAAAAAAAAGAGGACAGGAAGAAAGAAACATTGGATGTTACAGATGGCTGATTTCAGTGTTGGGTGGGAAAGATGCATGTTCCCATGTACACAGACAAGCGTGTGCTAGTTTGGATAACAGATCAAATATTGAATGCAGATTGAATAACAGGTGCAAATATTGAACAGATCAAATATTCAAAAGATAACGTCAGGTGACCTGTGGGTTTTAGGTGTTCAATTTGTAGCATCAGTTTCCATAAGACCAAAGAGCATAGAAATAACCTGCCAGCTGTTTCCACAAATGGTGTTAACTATCAAAAGGTCATTCTTTTTGAACTTAAGTCTTTTTTTTTTTTTAACTGATGTGGAGCAGAAACATAGACTCATGTCACCTCTTTCCAGGGCGATGAGAAAAGTCAAAGTTGTCTCTCAGATTTCGTTTGTCCTTAAGCTAAGTCTTGAGTGTTAATGGTTGTATGGGGACGGGGTGGTTTAGGGAAAATGTGATGGTGCAATTTGGGCTAGAAAAAAGGCTTTCAGACGCTTGATGTCATTTATTTGGACAGTTATAATTGGTATTGCATTTACCTTAAAGAGTTTTGTTGTCGTTTTGTTTTTAAGATTTAAAATTTTTATGTGTCTGAGTGTTTTGCCTGCCATGTAAGTGAGTGCCTATGAGCCTGGTGCCCAGAGAGGCCAGAATAGGGTACTGGATCCCCTGAGATTTGGATTAAAGACAGTTGGAAGTGACCATGTACACCCTGGGAAGTGACCCCAAGTCCCCTGCAAGAGCAGCAAGTGTTCTTAAATACCGAGACATCTGTCCAGAGTTCATCAAAAGACACCTCTTCAGATTTATTTACTTGTATTTGTGTGTGCACAGTTGCCCTGGAGTCTAGAAAAGTGTGCTGGCTCCCGGGAAACTGGAGTCACAGGCTACTGTGGGTGCTGGGAACAGTGAGTGCTTACCCAAAGAGGCATCACTCCAGCCCACTTTGTAAGTCATAAGCCCAGTAAAATTGAGAAAAAAAATTTGAAATCAGTTGCAGGATGGAAAACATTCAGAAATCTATAATTTTTAGTTTTCTCTGTTTCATAATATTTTAATACAATTTAAAGATCAGCATAAATAGAAACCAGCTTTTAAATGGCTGATTGTTTTCAAGACATTACTGTAAATCATGAAAAGATACAAACATAAGAAAATATAGTAAAATGAAGTGTCATGGGCCTGTCACCTAAATACAGCATTTTTCTGTCACTTCAGATTTTGGGGTAAAGTATTTTAAAAACAGGGCCTTCTCTCTTAAATATATAATACATATTTCTTAACACTAAGACCATCAAAGTATCATCAGGTCTAACAATTGTTTTTCAACACACACAGGAAAAACAGAAATAAAAAAGCTTCTCTATACTTCTTCCCAGTATCAACCACTTTTTTTTTTTCCCAAGTGAGGTGTACTGCATGTACACTATGCTTTATATGTGAAAGGTTCGTTTGTTGTTTTTGTTTTCAACAGAGGAGTTTCTCTGTGTAGCTCTGGCTGTCCTGGAACTTGCTTTACAGACCAGGCTGGCCCTGAACTCAGCGATCCACCAGCCTCTGCCTCCCGACTGCTGGGATTACTGATCTGTGCCACCATCACCCAGCTTGATTAGTTGCCCTTTTTTTTTTTTTTCTTTTTTTTAAAGTTGCTTCAGAGATGATTCCAAAAACAACTTTTTGCACTAAGTTGTTTGTACTGGAACTCAGTGTTCCAGAAGTTGCTTCATTATTGAAGTCACAAAAGCATATATGAAATGCAATTTTCAAATTATTCAAAGTACTGATACTAGTTTATTACCCTTTCTACTATACAACTTGATTCCTTCGCCTAGAGACACCACACAGACAGCCAAGGAAACCAATGAGTATCTGACTGAGCCCAAACAGGAGCTCGAGGATTCCAACGAGCAGGAGACTCAGGAATACTGAGAAGTGGAAAATCCTGTGTCTGTCTTCTTCAGAGCCGGAGTTGGGTGGTCTCCAGTTATTCCCAAGGTCATTGATGGTGGTGGTCTTTAACCCGGTGGGAGAAACACAAGTGTCATTGAAGAACCATAGCAAGTTGAAGGATTCAGGATCAAAGTTACTGGGGGGAGAAGAGAAGGGTTAAATATGCCTACTAACAAAATAAAAGTCCCAGCACAGTAAAACTCAACAGAACCCATAGTTAAGATCCAGTTTTCTGAGCACATATGCATGGCCCTAATACTTAAAGTCCTTACACATCACATATTGTATTGTTCTCCATAGAACACCTGATCTTAAGATGAACCATGTAAGACCAGTGCACTCTCATGTTAGGAAGAAAATAAACAACGAGAGTGTCAGGGGTGGGAACCTGTCCATGCAGCCTTTCCACTTGTCAAAGGCAGGAGAGCAAACACAGCTCAGTTTTCCACATAGATCTGCTCTGAGGCTAGATGGATGGTTTTTACTCATGACATTTAAAATGACTTATCAAAGTGATATATGCCTTTTATCACCTAAAACAAGAAGCCTTTTCAGTCCTCACACATCTATCTCGAGGTGATCTTTTTTTCTTTTTTTTGGTTTATCAGAATAAAATGGACTACTCTTAGGGAGTACACATTTCTGGATCCCAACAGCTGACTTTGGACCGGAGAAAATAACAGTATTTGCAGCATATGGACATGATGCCATGGATTTGCCTGGACCACGGGATTGCCCTATTGTATTGGCCTCCCGGATGTCTGAGTGATGCTGTCCTCACAACTAGCCTTGTGCCCACCACATCTGTGGGCCGTTGTCATTGCTTGAGGGTTAAATGTGTGCAGTAGCAGTGGTTGGAAGGTCACGTTTCCTTACTATTAAAGGAAAAGGATTTCTCTGAGTTTTGATTAGTTCACAGTAAAAACTGCTATGCAGATTTTGAGAGGTTTTTTTTTTTTTTTTTTTTTGTCTAAGTAATGGGGAAAAACAGTTGTTTAGTAATAAAAGTTAAATCTGGTGGTTTTCCCAAACTGAATGGCAAATTAAAGATAGCTAATGAACTATGTTGTCTTTCTGATTTTGAAAATTATGCCTAAATTCACGCATAGAATTGTCTCAATGGACCATTTATATGTAACTTCCAATGTTACTACATGACTTAAATGTTTTTATTCCTGTATATATATATATATATATATATATATATATATATATATATATATAT